TCCTGGAGCTCAGCCATATCACTATTGTAATATGTTGTATTTTTGTTGATGTATTGTATTTGGCTAAATTAATTATTTGATTGTGATTCTGATTCTCTCTCTCTCCCTCTCCCAAGAACCCATCATGTGTGTGTAAAGGTAATGTGGCACACGGGGCGTGCAATGGTTCAGTTCAGGAAAAATAGTAACATTCAATAATGAACAAGATCGACAATGAATCAGTCGAATGAATCTGGGACTCAATCTCAATGTTAATTAGGACCGAGTCCCTGAGTTTGAGATGTGGGAAAGTTCTCCTACAACTCGACCACCAAGCCATACCATTCTTCCACCAACACTACTTCCTTCCTCTCTTCCTTTCTTTTCCTCTCTCTTTCTCTGTCTCTCTCTCTTTCCCTTTTTCCTTCTTTCTCCCAACAGTCAATTCTTAGTCATGGGCATGCTCCCCTCCAATGCAGACAAGGTGTGCCACTTACGAGTTTCCTAATTTCTTGATCCACTTAAATTTTAGTCAAATACCTCTCAGTACCATCATTTCAGACCAACTTAATATTATGTGATTGGCTGGAAACAGAAAAAAAAAAAAAAAAAAAAAAAAACATGAGAGAAAATAATGGAGAGAAAGCAGGCAATTTGCCACATTGTCTCATAAATCAGAATGTATGCCTTTCTCTCTATCTCTTTTTCCTTCTTTCTCCCTGCAGTCAATGCTTTGACATAGGCATGCTCCCCTCCAATGCAGCCAGGGGTGTGCCACTTACACACTTACGTGTTTCCCAATTTCTTGATCCATTTATACTTAGTCGAATACCACTCAGTACCATCGATCGCGGTCATTTCAGATCAGCTTAAAATTATGTGATTGGCTGGAAACAGAAAAATATGAGAGAAATAATGGGAGAAAAAACAAACAATTTGCCACCTTGTCTCATAAATCATAATGTATCACTTTCTCTCTGTTTTCACTCTTTCCAATTATCTCTCTATCAGCCCATTGCCACATCTCATCCAACTCACTACCACTCACTATGTTGACAAGGAGCCATGCAAACAAAACCATGCAGGTTGACAAGGGGTCTGTGCATTTACCAGTCTAGAGAGAGAGAGAGAGAAGAGAGAGAGAGAGAGAGAGAGAGAGAGAGATGAGAGAGAGAGAGAGAGAGAGAGAGAGAGAGAGAGAGAGAGAGGAGGAAAAGAAAGAGAGACAGGAGGAACTCATGATGACTTCATTGGTCATAGGCCAAGACCGCAGACGAGCATTGGGTTGGTGTTTTTAGCTGAAAGAAGGTTTGCTGCAGTAGGGGTGTGAAAATGTCTTTTTTTTCGTAAATTTTTTCCTGAAACTGAACCATTGCTCACCCGTGGACCACATGAGCCTTACACACATGATAGGTCCCCGGGCAAATCAAACAAATATCATTGTTTTTTGGTAAAACTATCAATTATTTTGTTATTCTGTAATTGGGGCTGTGAACTGTAAAGTCACATGCATTACAGTGGCTGAATATATCTGGGTAAAAGGAAGGGTTGACCACTCACGCATCTGAGAAGTTTTCACTGCACAATCAACCTAGTCGTTGTGACCCTAGGACGTCATTTACACATTCCCTGCTGGACTGCTACATTTTTTTTCTTCAAATTTGGACTATGGCCTAGAAAATTGACTAGAAACTGTATCTAATTTAATTGCTCCGATCAACTGCTAACTTAGACACTGATGATGGTAGTGGATAACTAGTGGACTGCAGTGTAGTCACTGCAGCCAGAGGGAAGGTGTCCTGCCTACTACAGGAGTATGTGTCTTAGCAGAAGCTTGACCACAAACCATACTAGTATTAAAAAATAAAAAAAATCATAGTAGTATGATTTTTACAAAGACACACAGAGATTGGATCATAGGTAATGTTAATAATCATCAGTGAACCAGTGTTTTTTCATTTATGATATTTTCATGCTAGTAGAATTCGTTTTCGAGCTTCTTTAGTCCTGTTTTGTAAGTACGAGCTGTCAGTCATTGGTCGTAGAGTCTCAGTCATCTATTTGAAGGTAGGTGTCGTACACAATTACTTTTACTGAAAAATTAGAAAAGTTATGTTCAAAAGAAGGATGGGTGTGGTTAACACAAAGGATTTTAACAAGTGCACACTACATGATTGAACATATAGTAATAATGATAACAATAATAATCTATATTAAAAGAGAAAGAGAGAGAGAGAGAAACGTTTTCGTTATCCATGCTTTCGCTGCACAAATTGCAAAATGGGACAGTCACTATAGTTGCACTGCAGCTAGTGTAGGACGTTTTTGCGGGAAGCTCTGGATCAGTTTGCATGTGCAAGTGCTCCCCCCCCCTCTCTCTCTCTTTCACCCTCTCTCTCTCTATCTATCTGTTGCCTCTGCAGCTTCAGGACTATATTTATTCAGGCGTGATGTGATTGAGTTTTTGTGGTCGGACCTTTCCTATGTTGGAGGAAAAATAAATACAGACAGAAAGAGTGAGAGACTGGCAGAGAGACAGAGAGAACAGAGAGAAAGAGAGAGAGAGAGAGAGAGAGAGAGAGAGAGAGAGAGAGAGAGAGAGAGAGAGAGAGAGAGAGAATCTCTGGATGATGGGGAATAATTTCCACAGTGTATTAACAACAATGATAATAAAGACAATAAAGATATTAACAGTAATGATAATAATAATAATAATAACTGGCATGCCCAGAGGCAAATGATAAAAAAAAAACTTTATCGCCCCCTCTCCGACCCACCTACACCCCAATCCCATCCTACCACCACAACTCAATCAACCAACTCACACCTGAACAGCTGCAGAGACGACGAACGGATAAAGATTTAAATTTTAGTGTGTTGCCAAAATGCTCAGAAGTCGCCTACCCTTCTATATAATCTTTCGAACGAGTGGTCAGCCATCTCTCTATTTCCGTTCTCGAGATATTTTTTTTTCTAAACTTGTCGTTATGCATGAAATGGACACAAGAATTGCTGTTCTTAATTCACGATGATGAACAGTTTGAGACCAATTTGAGATATATTCAAATAGTGAATTAACACACCTTGCCAGGGACGGGGTCAGTGAGTACATTTTGCTTTCTTAAGTGGATTGATACATGAAATGTATACTTGAGAATGACTAATCTTGATTTAGGATGACCTAAGGAATACATTGCCATGTGTTTCATGGATGTACTCAGATTGTGAATTAAAAATGCTAATTAGCGTTAATTAGGTCGTTCTTAAGCGACCTAATACACAAATTGAAAACTAGAATTGGGAATTCTGATTTTCACTCATACAGAGAACATTTTAAGGCGTTTGAAAGATGTACTCAAATTGTGAACTAAGTCACATTTAGGGGGTCTTTAGTGCCCCCCCCCCCCCTGGTTGCTGTCCAGAATTGCAGAACTTAAGAATTGCCTTTTTGGGATCTCCTATAATAGATGCATATATTCCCGGCCTCAAACCTTTTGTACTCGAGATGTGAAACAAATGTCTCTGGGCTCCCGGACTGTATGTATGTATATAATAACGGTCGGGTGGGACCCCCTTTGTATCTCGGATTTTCTTTGGCCGATTCCAATGAAACTTGGTACTTGAAAAAATTATGGGGCCCAACTAGCTTCAGACCGCAGAGTTTCAAGTTCCTACCTAGAATGGAACCCTTTTTCTAGAACCCTCAAAACCCGCTAATTGGCATTAAACTGTATCTGCACTGGCCTCGGCTTCAGATGGTTCTTGGATCTGACTTTCCGTAGGTTTTTGCTATATGGCTGTTGTTTGGGAGTAGATATGAAGTAATTTGAGTTGATTGGGTGAATTTCAGGGGGAAGAGGGTAGGAGGTTCGGGTTATGGGTCCCCGGGGCACTGGCCA